GTGTTGATCCACACTCCACACTAGTCGATCAGCACGACCGGGTCGGAAAGCTTGGCGACACCAAAATGATCGCATCTCATCTTTTGGCGGCCACCAATACGCATAGACAACTTGGCAGAAACCACTAAGTGATCAGAGTCTGAGCAGGTAGACCAATACGAATGGCAGTCTTTCACCCATCCTCTCCATCTATAGCTATGTGATCAATCTGACTCCACACCTGTACCGAAGATGAGTTACACCCAAGTGGTGGGGCGTCGCTTTGGGTGTCTGAAGTTCGTGCTGACAAGGGACCGACTGTATTCTCAGCTTATGCTAAGTCTATCTTCATTATCTATCTGAACGACAGCTATCAAAGCCGTGATTGCCACATTGATAGGTCTCATCATGCGACACGGGGCCAACGCATGCGTTTCGATCTCCAGTCAGAATCACGATATCCGTCTTAGATGCTTGGGGAGGAAGCTGATGTGGGCTGTGACAGAAGGTTCCTTTGAGTGTATCCGGGCTACAGTCTGTGAGAGCGTATGTAGAAACCACGAATAGGAACCGTTCATTTGGTTTCTGCTTTTTGAATTTACTTGAGCCTCTAAGTTTGACTGCGCATAGTCGACTATCTCTTGGGATCCAATACAACAGAGCAACCTCAGCCCTGGCGCTTAAGGTAATACCGACGCCTGCTTGACCAGACGCTGATACGACAGGGTCCCTGGAAACGCGCAGTTGAAACGCTTCTTTTGGATCGGAAGGAGAGGTCGGGTCACTGAGCTCAGATCCCGAATGCATGTTTCCGAGATGAAACAGTAATCTCTAGACTTTCAAGCGTACGAGCCAAACCTGCTTGTTGTCCTATACGCATCAGAGTTCTAATGCTGAACAAAGCCAGTTTGGGCGCAAAGTGGGATCGGAGGAATGGAACGCTCGGCTCCGAAAACGACAGAAGCAAGCTACAAAACGAACTTATGTCAGCGGGACCAGTCGGGACAGAATATACAGCGGAAAAATGGGTGTTGTGTGGCAGACGAGTGAAAGCGTTTTGTGCAGAGTTTCGCACGAGTGTGAGACTTAGACATGTATGAGCCCATGATTAGATTATGGGCGGGGTACAATCCGGTTAACCATGCCGAAGTAGAGAGTTTTCTTTGAGGGCTCTACTGAATCTTTGGTTAAACCTGACCCAAAAGGTAGTGGAGTGGAGCAGGCAGTCCACGATCCTGTGGGAGCCGGTGACCGTTGACCTTTCGAATGAGGTCAACTATCCAGGGTACCCAGATTGCCCTTGTCGCGTGTCACGGTGGTCCACTCCAAAGGTGGACTTTGGAAACCGGTTCGGTTGTGCTGAGATTTGGTGCCACTATGAGCTCCTTACGCCAAGTATGGGTGGTTTGGAATCAGCGTTTACCCAACTACCTTTGACTACCAATGGTCAGTCAACTAGGTGGAAAGCGCCAGACATTTGCGTTTGCCCTCCCACTTCACTGTTAACACCACCACGAGAAGGTAATGGTTAGGACTTCCTTAACAAAAGCTATTTGAGGTGCTTGGTCGTTTGGGAGTAAACTGGCAGTATTCCAATCACGGGCAAATCATGGAACTTTCTTTTTTTTAATAAGATAATCTCAATGATTTGTTTGGCACACGGTCTGGACGCAGGTATGTGTGAAACATATAAAGTATATATAAGGCATTTGGATCGGACAACTTATCAGCGGCCCTTTAGAAAGATGATGAAGTTCGTGAGAGCATAAGACACGTCCTCTTTAAAGATTTGAGGAAAACTGTTTAGCCCAATAGGAGAATAGACTGTTATTCCTAACTTTGAGAAGGGTTTTGGCAATGCTTGTTCGAACCAAACGGACGGAAGTCTACTTTCAGCAGCACCGAAGCTCTTACTGCCCGTTGTATCACGCAGTTTACAAAACGATGAGACTGCACCTTGAGATGGTGTGATGGCCTACGTACACCCAAGACCTTAAGAGATGCACAGGACAGCTTTCATAGCCGCAGAACCATTTATGCCTGAAAGGTTAATAGGTAGAGACTAGACAAAGCTGTCTTACAAGGTGAGCTCAGAGATTACTTCTTGGCTTCCCCCAACTACCCACTTTCGCTCTCGGAGAGGTC